GGGGGGGGGGGGCGGCGGGGGATACCAAGGAGGCGGCGGCGGGGGTTACCATGGCGGAGGTGGCGGAAGGAAGTGAGTCATGTGTGTCGTGCCGGGCGGGGGTAGCGGGGGCGGGGGCGGGGGCGGTCGTCCGGTGTGGTTGCTCCAGCGTTCCTCGAGGTTTCTTATCGAGATGAGCATTTCTGGGATGCAACGGCAGCTGGACGAATCTGCCGGTCGGGCACCCTGAAAACAGCCACCGTCGGTGTTTATTTCCATCCCAATTCTGATTGTCCCCCACGAGGCCATCCTTGTAGAAGTGTATCACTCTCGCATGATGTCGCAGATCGCGCTTGAATTTGCTGGACATGACGTACGTCCTCACGCACGCGTATTCGTTCGCTCATGCTAGGCGTGCTGTATGCGTTCTTGATGGTGGGAGTCTGCTACAGCAGTTGGGGTTTCAACAATTGGCTGGTAGTTGTGTTGCAAGTAGCATTCACATTCCTGAGAACATTACATACATCCAGGGATCTATCGTTCTTGTCTAGGAAAGCGTTCAAGAGTTGGGATGCAGGGCATGGCTCTACCAGTGCAGTGGTGACGATGTCGTTTTGATTTATTTCTACTCGTATTCCACTGATATCTGTTCCGAATCTTGTACTTTTAAGTGTTAATGGTGCACCAGGATACACGAGAGTAGGGGTTAGGAGGAGAGTGTTACACCCGCGACTTTCCGTCCGCTGGATTGGTACACGGCTGGTTGAACGGCACTAACTACGTGTTGAAGTTTGTTGAGTAAGGTTTGGCTTACCTCTACAAGAGGATGGCCGCTATCGAAAAGATAATTGGGCGTGGTGCTCAAGCCGTGCTTGGACAATACATTGCACTACTGTACTTTTTCTTTCTTCGGCAATAGTCCATTTACTATTATTGATACGGAAGGCCGTTGTGATATTTTTAGCCCAGCTCAAGTTTACGTATCATGACAAATTTCCATTATGCTTGGCGCACCATGGACATCGCCGTTGACTTGAAGCACGCCCGTCAAAACCCTACTGTAGTGGCACTGTGGGTAGTCCATCGACCCACACTCAGCCCCCCCCCCCCCCCCCCCCCCCCCCCCCCCCCCCCCCCCCCCCCCCCCCCCCCCCCCCCCCCCCCCCCCCCCCCCCCCCCCCCCCCCCCCCCCCC